AAATGGTTATAATTAATAATTTAACTGTAACTTACACATTAATAACTTTTTGTTTTTTACTGTTTCTAATATTATCTTAAATTGAGAGTTTAACTTTATTTAGTGTAATACACTCTAAGTTACTGACCAATGATGCTCATCGTGCATTTACCGTTTTTACCGTAAAAGCTCAACCCTAATCTCAATTACCATAGAAATCAGAATATCATAAATTGTGTTTTTCAATAAACCTACTCTACATTCTTTCTGCGCGCTCCATACTAGGTAGTTTTTGATAATTAAAATAACATTTGCTTTTATTGAGCCATTTTTCATAGGCAAATAGGTTTTCGTTCTTTATGTGCTTTTTAATAAAACGGGCTTTACATACTTTGTTCATTGCTTTAACATCTAATACTTTGCCTGTTTCCATTTAAAAACAATTTTATTATAATTGTTAGCAGCCATTTTATGCAAAATTCTGCGTTTAACTATACAACCGACTCCAAGCGATCTGCTATAAAGAGAAAATAAGTCAGCTCAAACGTTTATTATAGAAAAATTTTGTCAAACAGACTTGAAGAATGTTATTGGAAAAGAAACATCAGCAAGATTATTTTATCGAATATTTTAAAGCAACATAGTTTTGTCAAAAATCAGTTCAATCAGACCAATTATCAACAAAAGAGTTGAAAAGATTGAAAGAGACTGTAGACGCGGTGTAACTGAAAAGTAGATTGCGCTGCCCAACTAAATTATATCGGTAAAACTTTTCGGACCTGTGAGGCGCTATCAACACAAGTTGAATGTGAAAATTTTGAAACGGCCTTTATAACATAAAAATTGATTTTCAAATTATTTTGGTGGCAAGTCATTCTGCAATTGAATATAAACTATTAAGTTTTGGAATTCATAAAAATTAGTAGTTCTTATTTTCCTGTATAGTAGTTTAGCGTGGGCATCTGTTAACATCGCATGCTATTCAATACTTTAACATATCTTAAATTTACTGAAATCTATTATAGACAAAAAATCTTATGAAATTTGTGTTGATATAACATTGTAGAAAATGTTTTTGAAAATATACAAAAATCTGGGGGGTCTGCGGTCAATAATTTGCATATATAAGAATTGAATATAGAAGAAACTTTACTTTCGAACTATTTAATATATAAGAAACTTTACTGTCAAAGACAAAAATATTACGAAATTCATTAGATGAAAATTAGAAATTTGATATCTATTAATGAATATAAATTTAGTTTAAAACAGTAAGAACATAAAAATAATATTGCTTTCACATATAGGGTTGAAGGGGAAGAGGGGGTTAGAGAAGAGTTTTGATATTTTGATAGTGTCCAGGCTTTAATCACAGCAGTTTTTTAAAACCCATTCTTATTTGATATAAACATAAACATACCCAAGTTAAGTTTGAAGTTTGGTTTATGTCTAAAATTTGTTTTTCTTAAACTTCATGAGAATGCTGCCGCAATCCCACGACTATCCTTAACGATGTAGCGCTTTTTCTGAAGTACTAATAGTTGCTAGGGATGAAATGAATCAACAATTAGGGTTTTTGTTATCATCAGCTTGACGATCTTAGAAAGTATCGTGTCACTTGTTATTGCTTCAATTCTTCTTTTATAAAAACTTATGATTTATAAAAATTCTTCAGATATTTCAAGGTATTTGCTGGTGTAAATGGAAAGCTCCAATATTATGCTGTACACATTAAAAGCAACTTGTTTGCTTTACAAACATCTTGAGTTTGAAGATAAAGTGAATATTGTAAAGAAATTTTTTTTTATATGATTTAAAAGTATACCTTCATTATAATTATTATAAAAGTATATAAAAGTATATACTCATATAATTCATTAACCACGTTTCAGTCAAAACAAAAGCTTGTTAACTGAAACGTGAAACAATACTATGTTAAAACAAACTTTAGTGTGATTTTTTAATGGTAAGGGTTGTTTGCACAATACTAGATGCTTTTTGAAATTTGCCGACTTACCCTATTAAATCAGGGACGATCCCAGACCTGTTTTGGTACCTTTGCCTAAGATCATGACACATTGTCACATTTTAACAGTCCAATACCTGTGTTCTCTACAAAATTTGAGGGGATTACGATTATTTTTTGAGAAAGATGTGGCTTTAATGCAGTATTGTACGAGTGAAGAAAAGTTCAGCCGGGTCCCTCGCTAAAGTTATTTCTTGCTCAAACCCCGCTTTAAATTGTGGTTCAAACAATATTCCTTACAACCTTTTTTAAAACTATAAAATTTGCTGTTCATATAACAAAATAGTAATATTACAAAGAAACGTTTATATAAAAAAAGTGATTTCTAAGAGAAATCACTTTTTTTATATAAACGTTTTATATAAACAGAGAATGACTAAAAAAATCACTATTTTTTCACAGGTGTGGGAAAATAAAACAAGATTTTTAAAATTATTATGTATAACTCCGTTATAATATAAAAGATAAGTTTTTATAAATATTTTAATCAAATTAATAAAATAAAATAATTTTTTTAGCGATTTTTATTTAAATATACCGGCAATATCCATTAATTAACTTGACTAATAATACAAACTAGTAAAAATATAATAAGATACGCAAATTAGTGTTCATTCAGAAGTACTTACTCTTGCATAAGAATTTTTATTACAAATTTATTATTTTTACAAATTTATTCTTATTGAAATTCGATAACTTGACCATATTTAAATTTTTTGCTTTTAAAAAAAGTTTCGTAGTTTAGGTCTGAGGTAGTGACGTAGGGGAAAGTCGGGTAGCCCCGGACACATAAGGAAAAAATAGATTTTAATCATGTAATAACAGAAAACAAAAAAAAGTATAAACATTTATCTATCAAATTAGAATCAAAAAAATAATTATTGTATACCTTAATAAAATAAAAAACATAAAAGAAAAAATGTTAGAAAAAAAGCATGTTTCAAATTGGCAACATAGCTTCTATTTAACGCTTTCAATGCAGCTACCCATTTTAACATTGGTTTACGAGCTAATGTGTTGATTTTAGAAAAAATAAATTTGAGGCCTGGAAAGTATTTGTTAAAAGGATGCAGAAAAATATATCATAAACAATTCTTCTTCTTTTTTTTTTAATTTTATTCTGATTCACTCCCAACAACAATTATTATAAAACTTAGTTGGACCCGGTCTAAAAAATATATAAAAGATAGATATAAAGATAAAGAACATACTAGGAAATGCAGACAAGTAATTTGAGTAGATGTGAAAAAACCATTTAAAAAGTAAGAAACTCATATAAAACTAGTGTATTTTAAGACTTATATCATTTATTTTATCAAGATTTGCATATTTATTTATACTATTTTGAATTTTTATTGTAAGCATTTTAGAAAGAGACACTGGCCAACATATCTAAAAATTATTAAAGATGTAAAAATAGAATTTTTAGTATGAATGCGTCTTAATGCCTTCTGTGACTTGAGTGAGACAGATGTTTTATAAAATTAAATCCAGCTCAAGAATAGATTAACAAAGTTATAAAATTTTGTAGCATTTTTTACCCCAATTTAGGTCCAATATTATTAAAAATTTATATGAAAAAACTGTTTCACTGCTATCATAGAATAACCTTACAAGAACAAGTATGCAAAAAGATTTTGTTATAATTGTGTACATCTTTAGATACTTTGGCTGGGGTCTTTTAGTATTTTAGTGGTTTTGGATTCGGATGCAGGTGCAATTTTAACCCAAAAATAATGAATGTTGTTTTCTTCAGTTAATTTTGTTATTCACTTTATGTATATGAAATTAAATTTAAAAAAACTAATAATTGCTCAAACAAAAAAAAAAACTCTCAAGGGGTTTCACCTTTAGTGATTCCACATTATATGATGAACATGAAACAGATCTCCAAGTTGATTATGACGATTAGATTATGATGTATATCAGTTCCTATTATGAATTTTATAAAAGCAGCCGTTGCGCAGTGGTTAGAGTTCTAACTGAACCAAGAGGTTCGTGGTTCAACACAGGCTCTAGCCCAATAAGTGATATTGGTATAGAAGGAGGCTTGAACTTCATGGTGAACTTTCTCTGCTGTGCTCTACAATAAGACTGATAGGTCTTCTTAAATATCTTCTCAATATCTAAAGAAAAAAATTATTAGAGGTTAAATTATTTTAAATATATTTATTATATGTTCTATCATGAACATGTCATGTCATGCCAATACAAGTAAAAAAGCTATTTTTTTTTTTTTTTAATTTTGAACCATTCTATCTCGAAAGCCGCGACTATAGAATTTTAAGCAGCAGTCAAACAGTACTTATTAGTTAACTGAGGCTCACATATTTTCAAAATTTTGAAGATTAAATTATTAATAATTATGTAACTAAAAATAATCTTTCCTATTCGGAAATATATCATAATATATAAATAATCATACCATAATGAATACAATTATTTACTTTATTTTAATACAATTAGTTTTAATTATAATAAATGAGGATTTGTTAATAATCATAACGAAAAAAATAAAAATTTATCTCACTAGAAATCTTATTACAAAATTGCGTATGAAAGGGCATTTAATAATATAAAAGAAGTCTCCTACTTGCTCCTGTCATGATTTTAAACATATTTTAATTATTATTAATAAATGTACTGCGTATAAGTAAATATAAGTGTGATTTATATTTATATATACTTATAAATATTTATATTTATAAATATTATAGTTATATATATGTAAAATGTTTATATAATGACGAAATAAACTATAAAAAAAAGTAGAAAAAACTAGCTTTGATTTGTACCAAATTCATTTTTATTCAAATCTTGTTTAAGATATATTGTCTAGATTCGAAACTTTCTAAAAATCCTACAACAATATATTTGTTTCATAATAACCTTTAATGTAATTTTCTTATGAAAGTCTTTTATTAAATAAGATATTTTAAAGCACGGTTTGTTAAAGCACGTGGCAATTTGTGTAAAGTAGAATTCTTTTTTTCAGAACCAGTGTCAGTAATTGAATCAACGAAAATTTATGAAGAAAGGTGAGATTTTTGAAAAACCTATACTTTTCCATATGTTTCTTTCCGTAAAGTATTTTGGTTTATTTTTTTTTTAGATCAGAGGAGACATTAGAACCTCTCAGCGAATGTGAAACTGTTCTTTTAAACTTACTTGATCTTTTTTCCTCAACTGCGACTTTAAGCGACTTGAGGTTTTCTGAAATTATTTTTCCGACACTAACTGACGATGTAACTGAAGTTGGAAATAACTTTGAATCTCCATCAACTGGTTCAGATGAAAAAAATTCTGATCATAATGCACCTTATCTCCCTGGTAGCATGTTTTCAAGAAAAACAATGAATGCTTCACAAGTTGAATCTTATCTCAACGAAAATGATCTTAAGGAAAATCCGTCAGTTTTTTGGAAAGAGTTAAACCACCAAAGTTGGTGGGGAAGAATAAATCCGTTGCTTGGTGAAAATTTGTTACCACCTGCTGTTTTATCAAGTTATGACGAGTTAAATAACATGCACCACAACTTTCAAAGTTCAAATAGCACAGAACAACAGTATGGCATGCCAATATATTTCCACCCATATGTTATTCCGTCACAAAAAGACAGATATAATCAAAATGTTAATAATACTATTAAAAAAAACAATTACAACCACAAAACCCCGTTGCCAAGCTATTGGCGAAACTCTTGCAATGAAGAACATTTAAACAAATATGAAGCTAGAACAGAATCTAACATAAAACACCTAGAAGATGCTGCTGAAATATTATTGCATGTCTCACAACGAGGAAGAAAAAAAAAGCAATTGTTTTCTCCAAGCAAAGAAAAGTACAAATGTACAGTTTGTGGGCAATGTTTTGCGCGACAATATACTCTTGATACACACGAACGCATACACACAGGCGCTAAACCATTTAAGTGCCCTCATTGTGATATATGCTTCCGTCAATCTGGTACTCGTAGAAACCACGTTCGTGCGGTTCATGCTAAAGAGCGTCCGTTTGTATGTGAATACTGCGGGAAAACATTTGCACACAAGTCATCCATTACCGTTCACATTCGAATCCATACAAACGAAAAGCCTCATCAATGTCAAACGTGCAAAAGAACTTTTACTGACAGAGCCACCTGTTCTAAACATCAAACAACACACTCAGGTGCAAAGCCTTACAGATGTAAAGTGTGTTCTAAATGCTTTTCACAAAAGTCCAATTTAAAGCGTCATTTTCAAAATATTCACGTAAACCGAGACTCTTGACAACTTTGTAACAAAATTTTGTAGAATTTTGAAGTTCAAAAACTCAATTTTTTGAAAAAGCAATTGCTAGCATTAAAAACGCGGAAATAGGAAAAGTTGTGCTTTTGGTTTTCAGTATTTCATAAATCAGATAAAAATATTTTTACTCACTTAAAAGTTATATATAAATAAGAAAACTAAATTAATGATTAAACATTCAAAATAAAAGGTTTTAAATAATTTATTAGTTTGTTAATCCCTTAAATTAATATTTCCTCTAAAAATATTGCTGTTTTAAAATAATGTTTTAAATAAACCTTTTAGGCGAGGTCCGACTAATGATAAGCTTTAAATTTTTAAAATCAGGAAATAATTTTTAAATAATAAAACAGAATGATTAAGATGATACAGTGATCACACCGGTAGGCTCTCTTGTCAAACCCCTATTCCGACGTTGAGTGTCCTTTGCGTCCGTGAGCTTGTATTTCTAGAAAATAGGTGAAATGGGGTATATAGGGATTTGCGCTGCGGTGTGCACATACACCGACTGATTTTTGGAGAAAACATGCAGCGGAGTGTGGAAACAACGACTGAGGGTTTGGAGTAGGCAGGTTCTCTTTTAAATAAAAAAGTCGTTTTTTTTACATTTTCGGACCTTGAGGACAGTGTCGGAATAACGGTTTGACAATAGAGCCTACCGATCACACTACTTTATTAGTTTTTTATGGCGAGAGTCTTTTATCCAAAGAAGGCTGAAGAAGCTTTTCACGCAAATTTTGTATGAACACAACAATGTCAACATTGTTTGAATTATTAAATGCGGAGAAGATGTTTACAAGAAAAAAAATGCGCTTGAATATACAATCAATGCGAAAGCTGTATTGTTCGATTAAAATAGAAACTAATCTAACTTCGTTTAACTATGCCGCCGTTACAAAAAAAAAAAAAACAAACAACCGAAAACAAATAAAACAAAGAAATTTTTTTAATGAAAATCTCGATATTAAATCCGAATGAACAGAACAATCATTTATAATATGTAGCATAATGTTTAATATGTAATGAAAGGTTATCAAATAGTTTTGATTTTAAAAATAAAGAGTAAATAGTTTGAAAAATCAAAAATACTCCACTTCTGCAAAAACAGTTCAAAACAGAACTCTACCCTGATAAGAAAGAACACAGTATCTATGAAATATTCATTTTATATATAAAATATGTTCAGTTTCTCCCTTTTCTCCCTTAGGTGGTTCTGACCATGCAATGATTTCTATAAATCTTTCTTCTCGTACTTCTTTTTTGGGCTCATCTTATCATCGCATCACCTACTACTACCCTAAAGCTGACTGGGATTCTTTTTGTGATTTTCTTCGTGATGGTCCTTGGGCTGATGTTTTTACTCTCTCAGCTGATAAATGCGCCTCCTACGTAACCTCCTGGATTCAGGCTGAAATGGAAGCTTTTATTCCTTCTCGTCGGTTACAAGTCAAGCCTCATTCTACTCCATGGTTTTCACCTTCTTGTGCGGCTGCTATATCCAATCGTAATCATTTTTTTCATCTTTTTCAAAAGAACAAATCTCTTGAGAGCAAACGGCTATTTATTATTGCAAGAAATTGATGTAAAAAGGTGCTTTCTGATGCTAAACTCCATTATTTTCAGTTCACTAAATCTCACATCTTATCACAGAAGTTAGGCTCTAAAGACTTTTGGAAAATCTTCAACAGCATTATTAACAAGGGTAGATCTAACATTCCATCTCTCATTCATGGGACTGATCTTATTACTTCTCCCAAGGATAAGACAGAACTATTTGCAAAGAACTTTTCTTCTAATTCCACTCTTGAATCTTATGGACATTCTCTTCCTTCCATTCCAGTCAAACAGATTGACCCATTGTTAGACGTTCAAATCACTCCGGCTTCTGTTGCTAAAGTCATATCTCAATTAAACTCGTCTACAGCTTGTGGTCCAGACAACATTCCTGTCACAGTCTTGCAGAATTGTTCTCCAGAACTTTCTTCAATTCTCTCTAAACTATTTAACAAGTGTTTGACTGAGTCTTGTTTTCCTGCTTGTTGGAAAATGGCATCTGTGGTTCCAATATTCAAAAACTCTGGAGAAAATTCTGACCCCTCCAATTATCGTCCGATCAGTTTTCTTTCTGTTATTAGCAAGGTCTTTGAGTCTTTGATCAACAAATTCCTCACATCTCATCTTGAGTCAAATAAACTACTGTCAAACATTCAATACGGTTTTCGATCCTCTCGCTCTACGGCCGACTTGCTAACTGCTGTAACTGAAAGATTTTATTGTGTATTAGATGGAGGCAGTGAGGCTAGGGCTATTGCTCTCGAAATATCTAAAGCTTTCGACAAAGTTTGGCATGCTGGTCTTCTCCATAAGCTTGCTTCATATGGTGTTTCTGGGAAAGTTTTTGAGATTATCAAGTCATTTCTTTCTAACCGGTTTATTTAAGTCATCCTTGAAGGCCAACACTCTTCTTTCTTTCCAGTAACTTCTGAGGTTCCTCAAGGTCCCATCCTGGGCCCTGTTTTGTTTCTTATCTACATAAACAATCTTCCTGACAACCTTTCATCTAAAGTAGCTCTTTTTGCTGATGACTCAACTTTGTTCTCCTGTCTTGACAAAAAGTCTTCTCTTTGCGATCGTTTAGAACAAGCAGCTGATCTTGAATCCAATCTCACTTCAGTAATAGATTGGGGTTCACAGTGGCTTGTGAATTTCAACTCTAACAAAACCCAGATGTTTACTGCTAACAACTACCGTAATATGGTCAATATTCCTATATTAATGAATGGCAATCCTCTTATTGAGTCCTCCTCTTTACATCTTTTTGGATTATCGCCATTTCCTTACTTCTGATTCCATTCTCTACCTCTACAAATCTCTTATTCGTCCCTGTATAAAATACTGCTGTCATATTTGGGCTGGTTCTTTTAACGATTCCCTTTCTTTTCTTGACAAGGTCCAAAAACGCATTGTAAATGTTGTTGGACCTGGACTATCTGCTAAGCTTGAGCCTCTTTCCCATCGTCGTAAAGTTGCATCTCTTTCTCTTTTCTGCAAATACTATCATGGTCACTGCTCAAAGGAGTTATCATCTCTAGTTCCATCATTAGATTATGAAAAAAATATATATATTAAAAACTTTTTTAACACCATTTTTCAAAATAGCTATATTCCACTAATCAATAAACCAACGCGAATAACTAAGGAAAGTTCAACATCCCTAGATCAAATTATAACAAATGAATTTATAAATAAAAATATAAGAACAGGAATATTTAAAACTGACGTGTCTGATCACTTTCCGATTTTTATCCTATCGCAAAAATGCATTTATAATGCCCAAAATGAACGGGAAAAAATAATTAAAACACGTTTAATAACCGACAATTCTATTAGTCATTTTTATAAGCTTCTATCCTATGTTAACTTGGACACCCTAAAACTAAATCTAAACGCCAATAAAGCGTATGATATTTTCCTAACAGAGTTTCTTAATCTTTATAACAAGGCATTCCCAGAAGTTACTAAAGTAATCAAAACAAAAACACTTTTAAACCCTTGGATCACGAAGGGCATTCTTAAATCTTCAAAAAAAAAACAACGCTTATATAACAAGTTTCTTAAAAAAAGAACTCTTAAAAATGAAACTACCTATAAAAACTATAAACGGCTATTTGAGTCAATCTTAAAACGCTCAAAGAAACGTTACTATTCTGAACAATTAATAAAGCACAAAAATGATTCTAAAAAACTTGGCATATTATTAAGGAGGTAATTGGAAAAAAAAGCTTATACAGAAATTTACTTCCTCTAAATCTTAAATTTAATAACAAACAAATTGTAAACAAATCCTTAGTCGCTGAAACACTTAACCAGTTCTTTGTAAATATAGGTCCTACTTTATCATCTAATATAGCAACTACTCAATCACACTTTAGTTCGTACTTAACCTCAACCAACCTTAATGTTATGTCTAATTATAAACTTACAGAAAAAGAATTACTAGACGCAGTCTCTTTATTAAAACCCAATAAAAGTTTAGGATTTGATGATAAAGTAGTAATGTCATTATCAAATCAATAAAACAAATTACAATTCCATTACTACATATTTTTAATTTATCTCTAAAACAAGGCGTTTTTCCAGATAACCTAAAAATTGCAAAAGTAATTCCAGTGTTAAAATCAGGTGATCCTTCCGATGTTACGAATTATATACCAATCTCAATTCTTTCTTGTTTTTCTAAAATATTAGAGCGGGTTATGTATAATAGACTATATTCCTTTTTAAATGTTAATAATATTCTTTATCATAAACAGTTTGGATTTAAATCTGGTCATTCAACTGATCATGCAATCACTCACCTTGTTCATGATATATTTAAAGGGTTTGATGAAGACAAGTATACCCTAGATGTATTTATCAATTTAAGTAAAGCTTTTGACACTGTCAATCATCAAATCCTTCTATCCAAACTGAAAAGTTATGGTATAATAAATACTAATTTGTCCTGGTTTGATAGTTACTTGACTAATAGAAAGCAGTTTATTTCATATGATTCCGGAAAAACGGAATATAAGTCAATCACCTGTGGTGTTCCTCAAGGATCAATTTTAGGACCACTTTTATTTCTCGTTTATATTAATGACTTATATAAATTTTCTAACATTTTAAACTTAATTTTGTTTGCAGATGATACAAACTTGTTTTATTCTAGTAAAGATATCAGTAAATTATTTCAAACAGTAAACAAAGAACTTGAAAAATTAACCCAATGGTTCAAATCAAACAAACTATCTTTGAACATCAATAAATCCAAATACACTTTGTTCCATCGTCTTCATAAAAAACAAGATATTCCATTAAAACTTCCTGATCTTTTTATTGATAACGCATTATTAAAAAGAGAGCAATCAATAAAGTTTTTAGGTGTGGTTCTGGATAAAAATTTAACCTGGAGGGACCACATAGGTCTAATTGAAAATAAAATATCAAAAAATATAGGTGTTTTGTATAAAGCCAAGCAGTTTTTAAATCTATCTTGCTTAAAAAACTTATATTTTTCTTTAATTCATTGCTACTTAAATTATGCAAACGTTGCTTGGTGCAGCA